AGTTTGCCTGTGGAGCCTGAGCCAGCCCCAGGCTCCTCCAGCTGCTGCACCTGCAGCTCCAGCCACCTCGTCCCCCCTCAGCACCTGCACCCACCAAGTCACCATCCCACCCAAACCAGAGGGTGACCCAGGATTGGTAACAAAGGGGGAGAATTCAGATAAAATCTCAGCCCAGACTGAGAAAGGTGAGGAGGAGGAGGGAGAGCCCTGCCTGAGCTCCCCAGCCAGGGGGTAGGAGGGGATCAGCTCCCTCTGACATCACGGAGGCCACTTAGTCCATCATGTGCCCAGGTCACCTGGAAGGCAGCAGCACCAGCAGCCACAAGAGATGGTGGCTCTGGGGAGAGAACTTGTGTCTCTTGGCTTGCACATGCAGCACTAAACACTGAGCCCTGAGGCTGGGAAGGAGCCAGGAATTCCCAGTCATCCCAGACCAGCCGACTTCTCTCCCGATTGCTGCACCAAAACCCCTCCCCACTCAACTCAAATCCTGCAGCTCTCTGGGTCCTGCTGTCCCCACACACCAGTGGGCTTGGTGACACAGGGACAGCTCTGGACAGGAGTGGGGACTCTGTGGAGCAAGGTGGGCTCTGCATCCCCAGAAAGGCAGCAGCCCCAGCAGGCTGGGAAGGTTTGGGGAACAGATCCCTGTGTCCCCTCTCCTGGGAAACACCACCAGCCCCAGCCAAGGGTATCCAGGGCTTTGTGCAGCCACATCCTGCAATTCCCTGAGGACAGAGTGTCCAACTTCACTGTCACCTTGTCTATGGTGACACCTCCCTGGCAGAGGAGAAGCCTGAAGCTCCCAAGCCCATTGTCCCCTTGCACCTGAGAGGAAATGCTGTCACCCCCAGCCAGGAGCCACAGGCAGACACCCCCGGGGGCCCTGAAACCCAAACATCTTGGTCACCACTGCTCTGGTGTCACCCATCCCTCCAGACACCACAGCCACCAGCTCCCAAAACCTCTGTGCACAGAGGAACTGGTCCCTCCTGCTGGCACTGTCCTCATGGACAGGGATGGCTCCCCAGGGCTGGGGCTGGAGAGGGTGACCCCCAGCCTTGTCACCTTCCAGCTGGGAAAAATGAAGACTCTTCTGTCATAACTGTCCTACAAATCACAGAATCATCGTGGTTGGAAGGGACAGGTTGCCCAGGGAAGCTGTGGCTGCCCCATCCCTGGCAGTGTTGAAGGGCAGGTTGGATGGGGCTTGGAGCAGCCTGGGCTGGTGGGAGGTGTCCCTGCCCATGCAGGGGGTTGGATCTAGATGATCTTGAAGGTCCCTCCCAACCCAAACCAGTCTGGGACTGATGATTCTATGACCTCTATGCTTAGTCCACCCCCCCTGCCACAGCAGGATCCCCCAGAGCAGATCCCACAGGAACACGTCCAGGAGGGCTGGGAATGTCTCCAGGGATGGAGACTCCCCCACCTCCCTGGGCAGCCTGTCCCAGGGCTCTGCCACCCTCCCAGCAAAGAAGCTTCTCCTCATCTTCAGCTTGACCCTCCTGGGCTCCAGTTGGTGCCCATTGCCCCATGTCCTGTCCCTGGGCACCACTGGGAAGAGTCTGGCCCCATCCTCCTGCCACCCCCTGCAGATATTGATCAGCACTGAGCAGATCCCCCCTCAGCCTCCTCCTCTCCAGGCTCAACAGCCCCAGCTCTCCCAGCCTTTCCTCACAGGCAGATGCTCCAGCCCCCTCAGCATCTCAGTGCCCTGGGCTGGACTCTCTCCAGCAGCTCCTTGTCCTTCTGCAACTGGGCAGCCCAGAACTGGGACCAGTTCTCCAGATGGGGCCTCCCCAGGGCAGAGCAGAGGGGCAGGAGAACCTCCCTGACCTGCTGGCCATGCTCTTCTTGATGCCCCCAGGATGGCAATGGCCTTCTTGGCCACAAGGACACATTGCTGGCTCATGCTCAGCCCGTTGGCCATCAGGACTCCCAGGTCTTTTTCCCCAGAGCTGCTCTCCAGCAGGTCACCCCCAACCTGTGCTGATCCATGGGGTTGTTCCACCCCAGGTGCAGGACCCTGCACTTGTGCCCTTGTTGAACCTCATCAGGTTCTTCTCTACCAAAAAGGATCCAGATCCTTAGGATCCGGATAAATCCTTTGGCAGCTGGAGGTGACTGGGCAGAGGGAGGAACCAGGAGGCAGAGCAGGAACCAGCAGCCCCTGCCAGCAGCACAGAACCTTGGCTCCGTGTCGAGCACAGCCCCACACACTTTGATCCCTTCTAAGATGCCAGACAAACAGATGGGGTTAACTCCAGCACCACGGAGGGGGAATCCAAAGGGAATCAGAAAGGGCACTTGCAATAAACATCAGGGCTTTTCAGGAGGCTGACGTCAAGCTGAAGCCCACGGGGACTTTCCCCAGGACAGAGGGGCTGCTTCTCTGTTTTCCTTTGGCAGCCCAGCCCTCCCTGGCAGGGTTTGATGCTGCACCAGCCTGGGAGGGCTCAGGCTGCAGAGTCAGGCCCCTCAGTGCCCTGCAGGGCCAGAGGCTCCACTCCCTGGTTCTTAAAAATACATCCAAACCTCTCCTGCCCGTGTGCAGCAAATACAGAATCACAGAACATGCCAAGCTGGGAGGGACCTGTCAGGATCATCTGGTCCAACTCCTGTCCCTGTGCAGGGCACCCCAAGAATCATCCCAATGATTCTGAGAGCATCACCCAAAGGCTTCTTGAGCTCAGGCAGCCTCGGTGCTGTGACCATTGCAGGTTCTACCTGCAGCAACCCCAAGGCTGCAGCCACGACTGGGACCTGGTCCCAAACCCTGCTATTTCTGTCCCTGCTCCACCCTCCAGGGGCTGCCACCAGAACAGCTGCAGGGCTTGAGCAGAGCCCTGGGAAGGGCGAGTCCAGAAACCACAGCCAGCACTGGAAAGCACTTGTGCTGCCAGAGTCTGGGCGTACAGATCGTGGCACGAGGTCTAAATATTTAACGAGTGTGGGGCTGAACTGCACCCACGGGGAGAGAGGCCAGGCTGCTCCTGCAGCTGGTAGGGGCAGGAGCCAGCTTTCCCCAAAACACACCAGTTTTTGGTCTGTTTGGCCTGTACCAACTAAATCAAACGTAGGACGAGACAAAAGATGCTCCAGGGCGGCCGCTCGGGCT